TTACGTATTAGCTTATGAAACATTTAAAGGACCATTTGGGTGACACATTTGGTCATTTTTGTTACAAGTCTTTACAAATGTGAGATGTGACAAATCTTTGCCTAAGACCAAATACAGAAAAATAATTGTCCACCCACTGACCCAAGAGAATTTAATCTGCCATTACAGACTTTTACTGGAATAAATTAGTCTTTCTCTGGTTGCATGCTTTGTACAGTAAGAAATTAACTGCCATAGAACTTTATTAAAAAGCAACTGTTTATCATTGTCAAAACATTAATTACATGCATTATCTGGGATCCTTAGCATATTAATACAATGTGTTACTGGTACTAAAAATGTGCTTTTTTTTTTTCTTTTTCTGTATCTAGTAAGGAATAGAACATTAGGTTGGCATTTTCTTTTCTAGTTCCCATCATTTCACAACATTTGTTTCCTTTGGAAAACATTTAGCTTCTGATAAATGAAGAAATGTCTTCTGGTACGAGACAGTTTTTACTGAAATGCATGAGGAGTAGCTAATTAGCATCTGTGCAATAAGCTACCTTTCCTTAAAGAATGCTTGCGACAAACAGTCCTAACACTAGGTACAAGTAATAAAGTTTGGGTAAACTGTAATTTTCATGAGAAAAATTATATGGTTTGGTCTGTTTGATGGTAGTGATGGTGGGGGTTTCCCCCTAATTTTATTTTGAAGCCTTTTTATACTCAATTTTTTGTCTAATTTCACTTACTTCATATTGGGATTTCTGTTTAATTTTTGTAATTCTGTTTTGTTGAGTCATTCAGAAGATATGAACTGTCTTTAGTGATCTCTGTGACCAACCACCTGCTCTGGCCACTTTTTTTCCTGCTCTCCTTATTTAATAGCGAGAAAGAAAATAAGAGTTTTTTCATTCTAGCCATGCTTGTGAGTACCTCAGTATCAGATGGTATGTTTCAGGCTGCCCAAAAGCTAGGTTAGACAGCTGTACATGTCCTGTGTGCATTGGGTGCTTCATTCAACTTAGGATGTTGGCTTTCACCTGCCTTTACCAGTTCGATGAAACAGAAACTGGGGGCAGATGCATTGAATAGAAAGGTGTGGAAACCTCTTTACTTGCTTCTGGTCAGAAGTGGTCAGAAGAGTTTATGCTATCAGTTCAGCACTGCTGAAAATGAAACTGCTGTAGATGATTCCTGTTTTAGGTTGAAGTCATAAAATTACGCACATGTAAATTACTGATGGAGTTACTATCATAGAATATGTATGTACATAGCAAGATTTTGCGCTTTACTGACTCCATTTTGTATCTAAATTTTATTCTTAAAATGCCTTCTCTTTTTACAGAGTTTCTTTTCTTAGTTCGTCCTGCTTGTCCTTCCAAATCCCATACTGTTTTTAGTTTCAAGTGGAGGAATGGAACAGTATAGGTGTGTTTCTGGTGAGGTGTGATTAACAAGGGGTAACTGAGGAGCCAAGAACTTTGTGTAGGAGTCCACATCTAGTAAGGATTAGGTGGCATTTGTTGCAGGTGTTGTGGATTACTCCATTGTCATGTCACCAATCCGACATACGGGGTATTACAGTAAGAAAGATGGCTTCTGTTCCAGTTTGCTTAGAAACGAAAGTGAGAAAGAAGACAGTGTGCAGACTATAATAGTTTGTTTTGATTTGAAAAGATAATTACCTCAGAATTTATTTTTGTCACTTAAAAAACCCCACTGAAACCCTGAGGGAATTGAGAGCGCCGTGCCCACACGTATGGTCACGACAGGATGGCTGCGCGTGCCTTGGCCGCTCCCGCCCCGTTGCGGCGCCGCTCCCAGCAGCAGCAGCAGTGCTGGCTATTTATAGCCTGTTGCCAGGCAGATTTGCTTTATGCAAAGCAGCTCTGCAGCAGCCAATCCCGAGCGGGCATGCAAATCTCCGGCTGTCCTCGCCATCAGCTAGGGAGCCGACCAAAGGACAAGATGGCTGCCGAGGTGCTGCCTTGGCCTGTTTCAGACACTCACTGAAAGAAAACTCATCCTTTCATGTGGGAAACGGGAAATAGCCTCCCTGCCCCGAACAGCTCAGAGTCCCCACCAGGCTTCGGTTTATGGAAGAGCTGGTTTCCTCGCGCCCTGGCGACGTGCCCCTTCAAACCTGTGTGCCGCCCCTGTGCCGAGCAGGTCTGGCACGGGCGAGGCAGGGTGTGCTGCCCCTGCCGACAAACGGTGTCTTCCCGGGGAAACCCTCCCAACACCCAGCTCACCAACTGCTGCTTTAGTTCCATTCTAAACTTGCTTTTTAAACGCAATCTTCGCAAAAATAACTCATAAAAGGTGCTTATATGTGTGGCAAACTGTAATGTTTCAATGCAGCATCACCTCTTTTGTTACAAGTTTTTTTTTTCACTTCTGCTTCGTCTGGCATTTGAGAAGTGACCTGGGATCACTGTCAGCATCAGGTAGCTTCACCTCTGAATTCTGATGTCACTGAGCTGCCAGTTGGAAATCCAAGGTTGCATTGCTACAGTTAGTTGCATATGTGATACGGGAACTAATCTAGACAATAGATGGTTCACAGTAAATAGGTTTGTTTTTTCATTACGATAGTGATATTCTACATTCTAACAGAAGACAAGGGATGCAAATATGCATATGTTAGTGAGACCATGTCAAAGTTGTAGCCTGTTGAATTACTGAAAATTCTACATTTAAAATTTATAAATAATTTCCTTATAAAAGGAGAAAATACTGCATTTTATAATGCCTAGAAAAGCCTAAGCATGATCAGAACATCTTGCCTTTTTTCTGAGATTGTTCTTTTTCCACAGAATGTCTCATATTTTTTGATCTGCATGAACAATTAATTCAGGTTGTTCAGGTTTTAAGTAAGGAATATTAGAATTTGAGTAAGTTTTTAGTTGTAGATGTGTTTTGGCAGTTACTGACTATAGCTATGGAATTATTAGGTCCTACTCATATTCAAGGATAATGGAAAGGAAATTGAACCTGCTTATCCTATACCAGAGATGGAACTGTAACATCGAGACTGTGTACAATAATATTCATCAAATGTATCTTTAAATGCACAAATTCAACTTCATAGTCCATAAATCTTTTTTTTTTTCCTTTTAGTCTAAAAAAACCCACGAAACTTCTTCAGTGTTTTAGCTTGTGCTAAAAAATTATTTCTGTAAGAAAGCTGAATTTTGCAGTTACCACTGTTAAAAACAGCAGGATTTGTTTAGTGGTTGCAGATGTCACGGCTGAATTGAAAGCTACTGTTTTGAGTTGTTGATAAAAGCTGAAATCTCTTAACACTTGTGGGAAGTAAGAAAATACATTATCACAGCCTTGTTACCTGGCTGAGTTCCAGTCATGCAGTTTTACTAGTTTAATAATCTAAGTAGCTGTTAAAATTCCATATGCAGAAAAAAGATAACAGTTCTTGGAGAATCAGCCTAAGCATCATGTGCTAAATAGTGAGTGTTTCTAAGGGACTTAAGTTGCTTGTAAAAGTTCTGTAGGAAAGACTTTTCACTTGTTTTCCATTCTTCCATCCTCCAAAGAATGCAACTACCTTAGGTATAAAGTGATGAACATGCAAGAACAACTCTGCAAAACCGACAGCAGATGAAATATCTTAGCCAGGTAAATAGACCTGCCAGCCATTTTTGTCCCACGAGGAATTAATTTTTCCCACAAAGCATCAAAGCGTCACGGAGGAAGAAAACCTCAAAAATTTGGTATGAGAAATAGATCCATAAGCCAGTGTCGGAGGAGGTATTATCCTCCTCTGGAGGAGACACAAGAGAAGTGCTTAACTTACTGTGACATCAACATGATGAGAGCATAGTTCAAGTTTGTACATGACGCTGTCACATATACAATAAACAGGACCAACCTCTTTGAAATTGTACTCTGAGTTTACTCTGGCTTAAGAAGGCTTTAACCATGTAGATGCCTGTTTTTCTTAGGCATAAGTTACATATGTGGGCATAAGGTTCAGCTGAATTTCAGAAGGCAGTTTTTTGCAAAGGTGGGGGAGATTGGCTTCTCCTTTCAAGGCAGAAGTCATACTGCAGTCATGGCAAAACACCAGGTTTCTGTTGGAATACTAAAAAAAGTGTTCCTGCATAGGATCTCAAGAAAGGGGGGTTTTCCAAATGCCATACTTAAACCCAGGTTGGATTTCAAGAGGTTTTTCTGATTCAGCATTCAACATTGCAGGAATTTAGTGATCGCCTAAAAATGCTCCCGCTCATTAAACACCTGTTGGTTAGCGAGGCTGTGCACCCGCACTCGTGGGTCGGTGCCTGCTGTGCAACCCCGGGTCTCAAACGGAAAGCGCTTGGCTTTCTATTGCTCCGTTTGGAAAATCCCGTTCGTTTTAACGCGCGCTCCCGCGCCCAGGCCGGCCGCGTGGGGCTTGTTGCTGGGTGGAATTCAAGGCACTCCCTTCTGATTGGCTGCCGCGCGGGCTGCGGCCGGCGGGGCTCCGCGGGCGCCCTCTGGGGAGCGCCCGCGACACTGCAGGGCTCCGCCGCAGGCGAACGTGCCTCTCGCTCCCTGCTCTGCGAGCCGCAGCAGATTGGGATGTGGCGGGCACAAATGAGCTGAAGGGGTTTGTAATTACAGTTCACCTTGGTTCTGCTGTGTGTGCACTAGGTGAAATAGCGCAGGATGGTGACTTTTTTTTTTTTCTTAGAAAATGGTGTATTTTTCTCCCTACTCTCAGATAACACTACCATAACTTTAGCCTAAAAGGGACAAAAACTGAAATAGTCTGTGGTGCGCTAGAAGAACTATTATTTGCACATACGATAATCATGTGATTTCTGTTTTGTTTATTACATTTAAAAACAAAGGCACAGTTGTATTTGAAGCTCACTAGGCTGGTGGTGTGTATTCCATTCAGCCAGATCAGTAGACTTGTATTACTGGTAGAAAGCCAAATTATTGGTGCATCATTTATGTCTTTTATAAGAATAGGTCCCAAACAATATTTTTTTTTCCTTCTTTGAAAACAGTTTATAAATTTCTGACAACTTAATCGAAATTGCTATTGAGGACTTCAACTGAAAACTGCATTTTATGAACCACTACTTAAAAGGTAGGTTTTATTCACCGCTTTCATTCTCTGGAAGTCTCCATCTAGAACACAATACTCATGACCATTTGCTGCTTCACTTTCTTTGATTTGGCTATGCTGTATTTTAAGTAGGCTTGCACATTTGAGTGCTGATGTTGATTATTAGTGAATTTTACTTCTTCCATATAGTCATGTGCTTTGGCTAACGTTTTATGGTTGTGGTGCATTTGGCTAGTGCTGCATGCCCTCGAGGAGCCCTTTGCTGGTGCTGTTCTAGACCCATGATGTTACACAAACCCCATTATGCACTATTGTTTAGATTGCAGCTTCTCCCTCTCCCCCCTCCCTCATTTTCCCATGACCTTCCCTTTCTCTGCTGCCTGTCACTAGGCAGGATTCATGCAGCTCCATGCTGATTGGCTTCTCTTTTCGAGCAGCTCATGGGCTGCTTACCTGAGCACATCATCATAGGCTGATGCATACCAGCTAATAAAATCCTTTCTCGCTTTAGAGCTGTGGTGTCTTTACAGAGTAAGAATAATAAAAAATGAGGAAGTAGAGGGAAAATGGCTCAGAAAAAAAGACCTTCTAATATTCCTAGCTGCGCTGGCAAGTTTTGCACCATTTAGCACACATTTTGTCATGAGAAGAATTTCTAAATTTTGGAGGGAGGTGCCTAATGATGTGTTCATATCTCACATGACTAATTATGTATGGCTTTAAAGCTTAAAACGAAAAAGGGAGTTTTTGTAGCTAAATAAATGAACACTGTGTATGTTGGCCTGTCAAAATTGTTGACTTTAATAAAATTGAAACAAAAAAAATCAGCCCAAAGCCTATGTCCTTATTTACAGAATTTAACCCTTATACAGGTAGGTGTACACGCTGGACTAATTTTGTACTGATGCATACAAAAGCCATTCTTTGAAATAAAAGGTGCTCCTCTGTTGGCTTGGTGCCTGGGCCATTGGTTTCCTTCTTGTGACTTGGTCAAAGGATGAGTAAAAAAAGAAAACACCCAAGCATCAGATAAGGGAGGTGTTTAACAAACATAGCTAAACTTCATGTTGTTAGCTATAAAGGGAGACTACCAAAATGCATTCATTTAGAGTAGTAGAAGCTTGATACGTTTTATTTGTGCAAGACTGAATACATGTATGTAATTTGCTCTGTTGCTCTCTGAACGGGTGCACCTTGGCCCTTTGAAAGACTGGAAAGCAGTATTCATCAAATGGTGGCTGACAGGCTTACACTGGTGTGACCAAGCCTGTCTGGACTGGCTACCAGTTGATTTGTTTCTCTTACATTCAGCTCTCACTTGAGTCTGTTCTTTGGCTGTACTGTGCTCCCTCGTGGGTATGGCTGGAAATGCTTAAAGACTGGTCTGCCCTTAAAAGGTATTTTAAAGCATCATTTTCGAAGATGAACCCAAAACACTGGTTCGTCTCATCTATGCTTATAATTTTGTCACAGTTGTTTTTATGCAATATTTTTGGTAGCTTTAATGAAATATTCTTTGGTTGCAAAAAACTGTAGGATTGGACTGTGGGAAAATATGCCTGAGTTACTCTCATAATCATTTAACATTGGAATTTTGAGAGGTCTGTACTTTCTACAGGGTCTTTCTAGAACTGTTAGTGCTTTGTTTTTAACTAGATTTTTGGATAATATCAGAAGGTAAAAAGTGCACATATTTTTTAGAAATATAAGCAAATCAAGCTTGTTCATCCATTTATTTTCAATCAAAAGTAAGGATGCATCAATAGAAAGGGATTCTGATGTTTGAATTTTTAAAGGCTGCTCTTGGGAAATGTAAAAATAAAAATAAGTGTCTTTTGTTTTCTTTGTATTTACTCTGTATTAAAAATGTTAATGAAAAAAACTGCTTAGATGACTTAAGGAAATTAGAACAGCAAATATTAATTTATTTGAAGTTATATGGTTATTCAAGTGATGCACTTCCAGATTTGATTTTAAGACATCTGTAAATGTTACATTAATCTGTTACGTATTTTTTGGTCATAGGAAAAATAAGACCATGAATTTTGTAATATATTTTGTAAATTCTGGGTAATGCCTTTAAAAGAAAACAATGTAGTCTGGGAGATCAAACTATTCTATTGTAACTTTGATGCAGAGGCCTTGTTCTTCTGTGCTGCCAGAGGGTTCTCACTAGTGGCTCACCTATTAGGAGTTCTTGGACTTGTTCAAGGTTAGCCAGGCCTGACTTTTTTTTTCCAAATTGCCTCTACAAGATAAAAATCTGTAACAGCATGTGTGTTGGTTATAGGGGTTTATATGCATGGAATATGAGTATGATGGTCAGTATTCTATTACATTAGAGTGTTATACATGCTTTTATAATGATGTGAAAATGTCTGCCTTCCATTCTAAGTTTTTAGGAAGACAGAAGGGATGTGGTTCCAAAACTGCACTTGCACTTCCAAAATACTAGAAATTTTTACATGCTTCTTGAACCCTCAGGTCTAAAATTCTTGCACTGAATACGTTTTCTTCTGAAGGAATATGAAGAAATTGTATTTAGCATGTAGACAGCTCTGGAAAGGCATTAACAGCTCACCTGGAGTTTATAAGTCATCTCACTGAAAACGGTTGTGATGTGAACCTTTTTTCAACTCAAGGAAACTGGTGTTTCAGATCAGTGTTTCTGTAGGTGTTATATTATGCTCCCACTAGTGGCAGTGCAATAGTAGACAATCCAGTTCAGAAAATCTTTGTCAGAATGGCAAAAAAACTCATCATAATGGTATTGAGAGTTCATAAATAAACCTGATACAACTTTTTGTCAAAATTTGTTCATCTGTTCCTGAGATGTGCGTCAAAGTGTTAAGCACTATCAGTGACTGAAATCTGAGAATTCTAGATTGTTTTGCAGAAAAGAACTCAAAAAAAGGGCAAGGGAAGCTCAGTGCTAAGTTAAAAGGAAATATAAAAAAAATTGCTTTATGCTTTGTCCGTGTTTTTGTCAAGTCATGTTAACTGCGTATAAAATAAGCCTTAGAATTGTAATGTAAATCGTGATTGTGAGGTTTACAGTAGCATTCATACTGTACTTTAGAATATATATTCTTACCTTACAATGTAGAATATTGTAGTTAGGGATAAATATGAAATAATTTTCTTCACAAAAAATTATTCCAAATAAGTTAGGAAAGATCCAGCAAACCAAAATGATAGGAGCTAAAGCATATGACCCATGGTGAGATGCTGAGGGGGCTTGACAGCTTCAGTCTGCTGAAGAGAAAGCTAAAGGGCAATCTTAGCATTGCCTAAATAAAACTTACAGATGACGTTGGCTACAAAATTGAGTGAAGCCATTGTTATTTAGAGACTGTTGCATCTGCTGAATTTTGCTTGTAGAATTGTCAAATATCCTGAGTTGTAAGGGACCCACAGGGACTGAGTCCAACTTCTTGCCTGGCACAGGACACCCCCAAGAATCATTCCACATTCCTCAGGCTCTTGAGTTTGTGGTTACAGAAAACTGTCATTGATCTGAGCTAGTGTTGGCAGTAGTCCTGCTTTCTTTAATTTTAAATCATTTATATGCCACCTGAATAGACAAAATGCAGTCTATTTGTTAATTTCTTAGCTCTGTAAAAGAAAATTAATTGGGAGCCGACACAAAATTAATCATACTACATATTTAAGGTGCATCCTTTGCCTTTGACATTCTGCTGTGTCAGTGTTATAAACATTTGGCTATCTGGTCCTTGTGGGCAAAAAGAGTCATATTGAGATAACTGTCTGATTTTTTTCTTTTTTAATTACCGTTAATATAATTTTTGCATATTTTTGAGAAACTTAATAAAGCTGTATGCTTGATGGGAGTAACTTTATGGTGGTTTGTAAATTGGTTAGCACCAGATGATTCAAGATCTTAGTTCTTGAGTTACATTTAGGACATAGGAACTTTCTTAGCCGCCTTCTGCTTCTGAACATCATCATACGTTCATCCTTTAAAACTAGGCCATTAAACAAGACCACGTGGGGAAAAAATATATTTTAAAAGTCCATATGGATTTGTTTTGTTTAATGGAAACACATGAAACCAGATTTTGTTGTATTTCAACAAAATCATTATTGCTTCCTAGGTAATGCTGGATTTAACTCCATGTTTTGATTTGATAAAATAGATTTTCTAACATTTTTCTTACACTTTTTATAAATATTTCTTGTAATACTTGTGTGGGTGGATGGAATGAATGTAACGGTTGAGGGCAAACCCAGCAGTTTTCCTTGAAAGAGAGAGGTTTTTACAAGGTACTCCAATAACTGTAGTTTTTATGGCCACAAATAGATTTAGTAAAATGTTACTGCAAACTGATTGAAAATGGTCTAAAAATCCAAGTTCATTTAACCATTATATATTTGTAGAGGATGAAAATTTATTCTATTTATGCAGAAAAAAATATCTTGATGATACATTGAGACATTCTTTGTATATAATGAAGTTTCTTAAAAGTGACTTGATATAAGAATCTTGTCATTTGCCCCAGTTATTCTGTTTGTAACTTATGAAATGAAATATTTTGATGAAAATATTCTTGATCCATTAGTTTACACTTATTTTTAACTTTTTATGAGAAGAGGGGCTTCTGGCTCTTACCCTAGTATAATACCTATTTTTAATAGAATACTATGAGACAAGGTCTAAAATGTGTAGTTAGACTATTACTGCATGATGTCGTAGTGTGACCTTTCCATAAATGTGTTTGTGCAGCATATAGAGAAACTTGGATTCACTTTTTGGGAAGTCATATAAAATTTAAGTATTGACAGGTGTTTCTTCGTCAGTACCATTTCAACGGGTTTACTTTAAAATGTACTAAACACTGCAGTCTTTCTTAGTAGCAGTGTAATATGACAATGATAAATTTTTATCTTCACAGTTCTTTCTGAATTTTTTTAAGGGCTAAGATGGATAGCACAGAGGAACCTCAGAAAAAAGTCTTTAAAGCACGAAAAACAATGAGAGTAAGTGATCGGCAACAACTTGAAGCTGTCTATAAGGTTAAAGAGGAGCTGTTGAAGACAACTGAAGTGAAACTGTTAAATGGAAAACATGAGAATGGAGATTCTGACATAAATTCCCTTTTAAGCAATACAGATTGTACGGAAGTCAAGAAAGAAATTAATGGCGTGGTTGACTTGTGTGCTAACTCTGAAGAAGGCCAAACAGCTTGTGATGAAATTAGTGAAACCAAATGCCCTGAAAGTAAGACAGGAAGCATAGTCAATGACACAGAATCCAAACCTCTAATGCTTTCTTCAGAAAATGTTACTCCTGAGCAAGCTAAAGATACTGACATCACAGTAAATTGTGAGGCTGAAAATGGAGTTGGTAGCAGTAAAGATAGCTTCCATGAAGAAAATAATAGAAAAGATCATTTGGAACAAAGAAAGAATGCTATCCCATTGGAAGTTGAAAGTAAATCAGTCTGTGATATTAGTGACTCTTCTGAAGAGAAGGGAGAAACAAATTATTTACCTGTTAATTCCAGTTCATCTGGTGAGGAAAAGAGGACTGAAGAAGTAACTGTTGAAGAGGTTGTTGGAGAAGCAGCCATCTCTAGCAGTATGGAAACTGACCAGGAAATACAAGAAGGCAGTGCAGGACTTTCAGAAACCACTGTTTCAAAGACAATAGATGAGCCAAGTGACAGTATCTTGGACAATACGGACTGTATGGAAACGGATGACATTATTCCAATTCTGGAAAAACTAGCTCCTGCTGAAGATGATCTGAGCTGTTTTTCTAAAAGTTCTCTGCTTCCAGTGGATGACACAGTCCCAGATTTAGAAGAGAAAATAGACAATTGTTTGGGTTCACCATCCAAACAGGAAAGCAATGAAAGTCTGCCAAAAGAGGCTTTCTTAGTACTGTCTGATGAAGACGAGCCCTGTGATGAGAAGGAGGAACTTGTCGAAGGGATACTGCTAAACAAGTCGAGTCTTCCAGGTAAGAATATTCTAAATTGTTAGTTTTCATTTAAGTTTGGGATGTTCATTTCTTAGAATGACACACTTGTGTCAGGTTTTTTAAATCAAAGAGGCAATCTTATCCACCAGTAATGTTACGTAGTCTTAGTTTTCAAGGGTGGTATTTGAGGCACAGGAAAAAAACTTTGCACCAAAACATGGTCATCTTCCAGATTTTGGTTGTTTTTATTTTTGTTTATTTGTTTTGGATTTTGGTTTTAGGGTTTTTGTTGTTTTCTTGTTGGTTTGCTTTGGGATTTTTTCATACTCTGTAAATTTGGCTGCCAACTTGGGTGAGGTAGTGGGTGGAAAAAGAGGAAAGATGAGTAATTGTGAGGGAACAGAAGGATTTGGGAGAAGAGGAACTGCATTCATTTATTGCTTTCACAGGGAAGAAGGTATTTCAGCTTTCTTTAGCATGCAAATAAATGATAAAGAAAACATGCATATAATCCAGGTGTGCCTCATCTTCTTTTTTAACTTTTTTTTTTCTCACTGAAAGACAGTATTGAAACAGTTTAATGAAAAATGCGTGTCATATATTATTTTTATATCATATAGCTTTTATTCATTTAACCCAGTGGTTTTTATCTGGGTTTTCTTTGACTATGGCAACTCATTGATGCTTTTAAATATTAAGTGTGGAATCTCTTCATGTAGTTAGCAGAATATTTCTTTAAGTTAAACTCAGTAGATGTCCTTTGTAGTGTACTGTTTAATACAGTTTTTTAAGCTTTTTTTCTTTTGGACAATGGGCAGTCATTATTATACTACTGCACTTCCGAAAATGAAACAAATTAATAATTTACAGATAAGTCAATAATGTTCTTTTATCTGTAATTAAGAAAGATGTTTCAGGTTATCTTGGGGTTGGAATTATTTTGTTGCGCTTTTTCCCTCCCCTCTTTCTTCCCCCTTACCCCATATAGCTTTTATTAAATTATGACCATATTAACCCAAGTGTGTTTAAATATGCCTGACTGGGTAGAAATTTCATAGCTTAATTAAGATTCAGGTTTTAATCTCTGGGATGTTAGTGACCACAGTTTCTCGAATCTTGTTTTACTAATGATCAGACTGTGGCATTCTGAGTCTTGAGTCTCTTAAAACAGATAGAGAAACAGAGCTAAGTACCAGCCCTGTTTTAGACTCCTCCTTTTTAGTATTTACCTTTAAATAATGCTAGTTCAATGGAGATGAGGTAGGTTCCATAGTTTCTGCTAAGCATCTTATTTAGGCATTAGCTGTTGTCAAGTGAGATTGAGAAAGTTATACTATTGTTGTGCACATAAAGTCTTCCAGAAACTATTGGAGCCGAGTGAAGTAGGGGGAAAGAAGGCTGTGCGTAGTTGTGTCAAAATTGTAGTGTTATGAGTCCCTTTCATGAAATAAACAGTACAAATAAATAGGTTATCTTTGTTTTCACTGCAGCTTGAGTTCTCTCATTAAAGCCATTAAGTTTACTTTTTTCATCTTATTCAGTGAGAAAACACTCTGGGGTCACAGAGGAATTTGCTATGGAGCAAAAAGACTGAAGTGAATATTAAATACTGGACTACCATTTGCAGAAGTTTAAAATTAATGTATCCAGCAATAGGTTTTTAAGATTCTAAATTTTGGTGACAAGACAAATTCTTTTGACTAGTTGTTTTATTACTGGCTAATAACAATTTGACTCTTAGAGTTGTGTGGCTGTAACTGAGACTGTTCATGAAATGAAAGAAATTATGTTCTGCCTTAACCAGCAACAAAGATAATAGTAGAGAGGTTGCATAGGCAGGAAACAGTTGTGCAAGAAAACAGATAGAGTTACCTTATAAAATGTAACTTTTGGAAAGAGTCTGTGCAAATTAAAAATGTGGAGACCATATGGAGGTAATTTCAAGATGCTATATTGGAGAAACAGGTGCAAACTGCTCAGTTAAGAAGTGAGATTTCAACAAGTCCAGATAGAAACAAACATGGCTAAACAGTAGAAAAAAAAATGCTACTAGACGACTTTATTCAAATGGACAGATTAATACAATGTCTTTACCAAGTGGAATTAGTAACTGTAATAGGTATGTTGTCACAGATTTTTGTAATAAGGGATCATACATCAGAAAGTCTTGGAGCTTTTTGTGTAAGCAAACAAGCACGTGACAAGGAAGCACTGATGTGAATTCTCTTGGATATCCAAACACAAGTGATTTCTTACCAAGAAATTTTGTAAATGAAAGAGTAAAATGGAAAGTCCTTGTGGAGGAAGTAATCAGCTGAAGAATAAAAAATAAATTTAGAGTTCCAGGGATTGTGCTGTGTGATAGAATTAATAATTTGCCTAAAATGAATAGTAACTAGTGATGTCACAGTTTGCCAATATGAAGAACTGGAGAAGAAATTTACAATCTGACTGACTGAGAAAGAAACGTGGGAGGTGAGATTCATAGTGGTTGTCTACAAAGTGGTGCACATAAGTAAAAAACTCATAACTTGATGAGAAAGTAGAACTGACCACTCAATAAAAATATTTCAGGATTATAGTAGGTGATTTTGAGGAAACATTGATAAAATGGCAGTTAAAGAAATCAAATGAAAAATTATTGGAATAAATTAGGAAACAAGAAAACTTTACTGTGATACATTAAGTTCATAGGAGGCTGACAAGGTTGCATTCATTGCTTCTGCTTGTCCAGCATCAGGATAAAGAGATTACATCTTAGCAGTGGAAACTAAGCTGACAACCACTTGTGAAATTTTTTTCTACTTAACTGGAGAGTTTAGCTGTGCATCATGTTTAAACCACTTTTAGTTAAATGAGTTGGATTTGTTCATGGTAATGAAAGTTAGTAAGGAAAGGACCTTCTCATCCCTGAAATTACTTGTCCTCTATGTAGAACTGAAAAAAAACTTAGCTTTGAAGCTTGTTTTAAACAAGACACATTCTAGGTATGTGTCTTTCCATTGAATATTTGTGTCTTTCAGCTGAATTTTAAAATCTCTGAATTATGGGAAAAGTTGTCTTGAATTTAGCAATTCTCCTTTAGATTCCTAGGTAAACGAGTCCTATTTTATTCATAGCAATTAAATGCATGAAGCTTATCTGTAAGTCTTGAAAAGCTAATTTATTACTTTAAAAGTAAATCAGATTTGGATTCAAGAATTTGTATTACAAATTTTATTTTTACATTAATAAGAAAAATTAAAATACCATAATGCCAGGTTATTGGGTTTTGACTACTTTTTCTGATTTATTAGGTAACTTGTTTTAAATAATTTAAATGTTCTTTGTAGTAGGAGGGAGACTTAATGTTAAAGAGAGCATCAAGCATACCTTTACAACCTGAACTTCCATTAAAAAACTTCTGTAATAACAGAATGAATATAAGAAAATGAAGAAGTGTACAGATCAAGATGTGCATAACTGCTTACTTGCTCTCTTATATTCTGGATAGATTTTACTCTAATCTTAAAAGTAATAGTTATGTGTTGTAGCTAGCAAGCACAGAAACACATAATGGAAGCTTGTTTCATTCACATATGTATGAAATACATCATGGAACATATAATAAAAATTTTCAGGAAGTGCTACCATTTTTATCTTTGTGTGTTTGGTGGCTTCAGATTGTTCTTATTTTAAGCATTTCCTAAACTGAATATTTTTAAAAAGCTAGTCCTAAATTATGATACTTTGTATTAGCAAGAATCTTCAAATTAAAATTTATATTTGTTTATCTGAGTCTAGGCCTTTCCTTACATTAAGATTATGGTTGAAATTGCCAATTGTAAATAGAGAAACATTAATATTTTAGCTTTTTGCTACTGAAATTTTTATGCTTTGTCCCCAAATGGAAAAGTAAGCTAAAATTTGTTGAGAACTTCAGCTGCATTAGAAATAACATCATCTTGTTTCAGAGGTAAACTGAAACATATTTCCCTCATAATTACAGTTCAGTAATTCTGGTTAAAATGTTAAGTAAATTCAAAAGTGAGTCTTAATATGTTGCATGATAGTTAAAATTTTTGTTTTGAGGGTATTCCCTTATTTTTTTTCATATCTGCATTCCCTATTTGTCATACTTATTTCCCTTGCCTTTCCTCACATGTTTTTTTCATGTGTTTTCTTAATTCATTAGTCAAAGTAGGACTGTTACAAGACTTTTGTAGATCTGAGAAAGTGAGACGTGGATCTTTTTTTCTTCTGTTTGTAGAAGAGGTGGAGGGGGAGAGAAAAAAGGAGTGTGAAGATAAAGAAGGAGAAGAAGCCCACAAAGAAGAAGAGAAACAAATAGAAAAAAGTATGTAATGTTAAAACCGTTGTGTTTCACTGTGCTGTATGTGTTAGAAGCACAGAATCATTAGGTTTGGAATTTGATTATCTAGTCCATTGCCCCAGTTAAAAACCAGGTCAACTAGAAAGCGCTTTGCCCATAACTGTGTCCTGACAGGTTTTGAGTACTTCCACAGGTGAAGATTCCACAGATTTCCATGTTTTGATCCAAGTGTTTGATCACCCTCACAGTAAAAAGGTTTTTAAATGTTTGAGTGGAAATTCCTATATTTCAATTTACATCCTTTTCTCTTGTCCTATCACTGCTACTCAGAGTCTTGCTCTGTTCATTCTCCACCTGTCCGGTAATTCACACACATGATAAAATCTCTCCTCAATGGCCTTCTTCAATTGAACAATTCCAGCTCTTGACGAATGCACCTATCTCTAAAATGTCTTGGTGACCCTGCACTCTTACATACTGTACTCTCTCCAGTATGCTCACATATTTTTTTGTATTTAGAAACCCAGAACTAGACAAAAGACTCAAGGTTCAGACTCACATTCCCTGGTTAGAGGGGAACGAGTACCTCCCTCAGCCTGCTGTCAGTACTCATTCTCAGGCAGACAAGAATGTTGTTGGCCTTCTTTGCCAACAGGGCACATTGCTGGCCCATGTTCAACTTCATGTACATGGAGACCACCAGGGCCTTTTCTGAAAAGGTGTTTTTCAGCCAGTGAATTCCCAGCCTGTACTAATGAATGCATGGTTTTATTGCTCTCCAAGTGTAGCACTTGGGCATCTCCTTTTCATAGACTTCATGAGGTTCTTGATTGCCTATTTCTCCAGTTTGTCAGTGTGACTCCGAATGGCAGCATAACCACTTAGAAGTATAGAAATCACTCCTTCCAGTTTTGTATCACCTGCACGTTGCTGCAGACACCTGCTTACCCCATTATCTAGGTCATGAATGAAGATGGTGGTGTTGGTGCCAGTAGCATGTGCTGGTGTGCATTACTGAGCTCCAGCTAGACTATGTGCCAATAATCATGGCTGCTGGAGCCCAACAGTTGAGCCAGTACAATTATCTATGTCATACATCAAGAATTTGAGGATGGTTAGGGTGTCAGAAGCATTATTAAAGAAGTTCTCCTCTCATCCACCAAGCCAGTGTTCTCACTGTAGAAGGCTATCAGGCTGATGATGGGTGATTTCCCCTTGATAAATCCATTCTGTTCCCCATCACCACCTTCTTGATAGGCGTTGGGATGATTTCTGTCTAGATTTACTTGCTCCATTGTGTTCCCAGGGATTGAGGTAAAACTGCTAATCCTGTAGTTCCTTGGGTCATTGTACATAATCTGAGGATTATTTAAAAGCAGATGTCCCTCTTGTCTTTGAGAACGTTCTGGACACAGTGCCAGGAGCTGGAGGAGTGAATGAGGTCTCTTTGGTTCTTTTATGCTTCATCATTTGTGATGAAAATTACCTTTATAAGCAAGTTCTGTTTTGAGCCTTTTGTTAGATTTTTACTTTCCATCTTAACCAAAAAGTGCAAAAAAAGTTGGAAAGTTTGAGGTACAAGTTAAATCTTCATGGCAGATAAATACAGTTAATTGCTGGCATAGTTAAATGAGATGTAGTTTTATTTGGCTGGAATTCTGAGAAGAGCATTCCTTTTTGGTAGAAAGTTTTATTTTGCTTCTCAGAAGCCATATTTCATTATAGGATGGTGCTAATAGGAGTAGGAGGAGCTGGAGGGAGGTTCTGGAGAGAGGAGTGGTGGTACTATAACCGTTTTGCATTTGGGCCAGCGACTGGGTGAATCACAAAGCAGAACTCACTAACAGGGCAGTAATGTACAGATACCAGAAGGACTAGTTTTGTACTTTGATGTCATCAAGCATATTTTTCCAAAGGCATTCCTGCTGGTTTAGCATGAAAAAGCTTAAACTGAGAACAACTTCATAGTAATTATGGCATTCTGAAGATACCTGTTTGTTCGGGAGTTTCCCACGAGCAGTTCTATCTAATTGTTCCAGGTGAAGCATCAAAAAGAAAGCGTTCCAAATCTGAGGACATGGACAATGTTCATTCTAAACATCGTCGGTACATGGGAGAAGATTATGAAGCAGAAGTCCAAGTCAAAATTACAGCCAGAAAGGATGTTGACCTAAAATTACAAAAGGTAAAACATAGCTGCAGATCAAAGAACATATACACACACCTGTCACTTGTGTTACCATCTTTGACTTAGGAGTCCTTCTGCACACACTCTGTGTCCCCAAACATTTTCTCTTTTTTGTAGTTGAACATTGGATGTAATTCAAATAACAAAGGTGCTTAATTTATATAAAGTTTTACATAGCCCTTCTTTTAAGAAGAGACCAAATACCATTTGAAAATTAAGTTACAGGAGTTACATTTGAAATGTATAAAATACTTGAAGTCTCATGTGACTCTAGACTGAAAATGTTACTAAAGGATGTATTTCACCATGATGATTTATACATGATGCACTTTATTCTTTGCTTGGCTTTAAAAAAAAGGCAGTCTCCAAAGAAGAGTATAATCCACCTGGCATTTTGCAGATTTTTGTAGAGCTCTCAATAGCCTAATTGCACCATTGCTGTATAAGAAACCTATGGTCTTGAAGAAAAGAAAATTGTGCTGTTCTTCTGTTAGTTCATTAGCTAGCATGTGTTTTAACTTCATTAATTTAGGATTAGGATGGCAAAAACTGAACCACATTAGTGGCTTATTTCTTTTCATTTCCTATGAAAACTTTTTACACTGCAGGAAGTATAGAAGGGAGAGAAACATTAAGTAACTTTTATCAAGTAAACTTTGTGAAAACCAGTCTTTTCTTCTTACATTTTTAGGTTCTGCAAAAAAGGCAACACTGAATTTTTGCTAGGAGAAAATATATCAAAGAAAAGTTTTTCTTGAATGTCTTAAGTTTCTGTTCTTTGAATGCCAACGTCCCTCTCAAAAATAGAAAATAAGAACAATTAACTTGTTTAAGCACTGCACTTTAAAATAATACCTTCTGTTGCTAAGGTTCTTTTTATATATAGTAAGATTTTATACCCTTATTATACTGCAAGGAAATTAATATGATGAATTAATGGCATACCATTTATAGTTTCCAAAATTATATCAAAACTTAGCTGTGCAACCACATGCTTATCAATGACTGTAGATTCATTTGATTGATAAGGCACAACAGTTGTCCCCAAATTTTGGGATTGCATTTTTTTTTTAATATAACAATTTTGCAGATTATCCAGAGACTTTTAGAAGAAAAACTTACCGCTTTACAGTGTGCAGTATTTGATAAGACTCTGGCAGACTTGAAAACCCGAATGGAGAAAGTAGAATGCAACAAGAGGCATAAAACTGTGCTTACTGAAATGCAGGTGAGTGTGTGTTCAGCTCCATACTATGGTCAAATTGAAAAATAGCTTCCTCAATGTTAAGTCATAGGGTTCCTAGAGTTGCCAGTAAGGAAACCATTTTGACTCTGCAAGAGGAGGAGGTGGTGGGAGGAGCAGCAAATACTAATGTTACTTTTGAGTTGAAAAACTATTTTCCTACTCAGAATGAGGGAAGCAACCAATTAATCATACAGAAACCCCAAAGTGTGTTTTTCATCTGACAAACTGATTCATTATCTGTTAGTAGACTGCTTTTCCACTCTTCTGTTCCATTTAGACATTTTTTTTTAATGCAAGTATGAAAATATCTAAGGTCTTTAGGAAGCTGGAAATTTGCTTAAAATGGGAACACACAGAAAGGAAAGGACAGTAGCACTGGACTTTGAACATCCTACATCACATGTTTCCTCGGAGTGTAAATAGTTGATGTTCTAGCAAGGAAGCAAATAGCTAGTGTTGAATGAAGTATGCTTTCCTGCATTTTTTATAGAAAATATGTACTTAGTGGTCACATGAAGAATGTCACAAAAAAGAATTTTGAACTGACAAGACAATTAAAAGCTTATCTCATAACAAATTTGAACAATAAGGCCGTCTTACTTTTTTCATTAAAAGAAATACGGAGTTTGCCAGATCAGTTCCCACTGTACAACTCTTTCCTCTTGTTGCCACAGACATTTTATGTTGACCTTTTAAGTGCTTTTTAAGATGTTTTCAGTATACTTGTTTATCAGTGTCTTTACCCATCAACTAGAGTGTCAAATCAATAACATCATGTAAGACTTCCATTTATGTAGGTTTGTGTGAATGTGGCAGATGTATTCAGTTTCTGCAGTTGTGAATAGGAAGGAAAATAACTAAAACTTGTCTCTAAGATACCTTGACTGTGATGCATACGTTTGTCCTTCTGCTATAATAATGTTGAAAGTAACATAGTTGTACTGTATTTCAAGGAAGAATAATTTCCCTGATATGCAAATAGCCTTTGATTTGATAGTCAAAATTATTTTCGTTTATAAGATTTCTTTGATGGTTCTTGGGGATTTATGGTTTTGTTTGTTTTCATCTTCCTCTTTAGGCTAAAATTGCGAGATTGACAAAGCGGGTTGGAGCAGCTAAGGAGGACTTGAAGAAGAGACAGGAAGTAAGAGCTAGATTTGTTCGGGTCTGGGTTTTTTTTTCCGAGTTAGTCTAAACCTTATGTTGGAAAATAAAGAAAATTTATATTTAGAAAGATGTGACTTGTTTATTCAATGGCATTGACAAATCGGGTTTGTCTGGTATCGTTAAACAAGTCTTAACATTTGTTATGTAATTCTGAATTGTACAGAAGCTTCTTTAACAATGTTTAGTGTGAAAACACCTTAAACTGTATAGAACTGAGTCTAATTTACTTCAGTATGAAGAGTACAGGGTAAATAAAAGTGCATCCCACTACCTTGATTCTGAGGGATGAGAGGGCAAAGAGGAAAGAGAGGATAAAGGAGAGGGAGGCAGTGGGACCAAGGAGATTTTGTGTAGTTGTAAAATAATGTCAAATTCTCCTGCAATGTTGACTTCAGGAAATGAATCTTTCACACAACAGTGAATGGATATGAAATAGAATGAAAGCATAAGTTTGCAAGATGACTTAGAGTTGTTTTGTTATGGCTTCTCTCTATCATTCTGTGTAGAATGTGGCAAATGCACCTGTATCTCCAGGGAAAGCAGCACCCGACACTGCAAATGTAAACAATGCCACATATCGGTAAGCAAAGCACATCACTGACACAGTGTTAAATGTACAATAGGACACTTCAGATAATCTCTGTATTTCCTTTTTTTAAATTAAAGTGTTTTTCCTTCTCCTTCATTGATCTTCACTTGAAAAATTTAATTTCCTTTTACAGAAGTCATAAATTGACCAAATTGAACCCATTCTTGGTTAAATCTATTTAGCATTAATTTCAGTGTTTAAAATCATATACAATAGTGGAAGTTTAATTTTAAGAACAGGAAAATTCTCATGGTGCAAGACAAGCTTGGTACAAGAACTTGCAAATTTATAAATAATTCCATACTTCTTTTTCTTTGGGAAATATCCCAAGTTAATTTGCCTGAGAAGCAAAAAGTGTGTTTTGTAAAAAAATCTCAAAGAAAATAACAGCTGTAAACTTAGGGATTTTTTTGCCATTGTACTGTTCATAAATACACTTTATATGGCTTTTTGAGAGAAATGCCAACTCAAACTTTGTTCCTTAGAAATGCTGGCACAGTAAGGCAAATGCTGGAGTCAAAGAGGAATGTAGGAGAAAGCACACCAGCAACATTTCAAGCCCCTGTGAATCCAGGTGAGAAACTCCCTAGGGACTATAAATATATTTATTTAAAATTTTGTTGCTTTCTATTAAAGAAGTAACTAGCCAAACAGAGCAAAACTCTGTTTAAAAAAAAAAAAAATGGATTTTACTCCTTTTTTATGACCTAAAAAAATAATTATTTTTATTTCTCTAGTGCGTTCTCAGTTTATATTTGTGTAGTATGCTTACCAGGTATGGGAAAAAATGTGTTGATTTGGCAAAGCAGAATTTATGGTAAATTAGATGCTTCAGTAGAGGCTGTATGGCAATAAAACAGGCTGCCAAGAACTGAAACACATCTCAGGGCCCTTATTGTACTTGATCATAATAGGATGCTGATGACACCCTTCCCTCTACCTAATGAATATGGACATTGAGTGGGAAACTAAACAGCAATTTCTTCAATAAACCACATTTCTTAAAGAAGTCATGTTGAAAAATAGAATTTCTAGATTAAAATTTTATAGGGAATATAAACTCAAACTCACCATTAATTTATTCACTATAGTCTCACTGTCGTTGGTTGTAAAAATTAAAAGTCAATATCTTCTCTGACACATTAATACTTGGTTTTGGTAGAACCTTCTGGATAAAAGGTCTTACCTATACAAGGCAAGTTATTCATAACTGGCATAGTTTTTCTTTTCTTATGTTTTGTGAAGCATCAGTTACTCTGCCATTTCTATAACGGGTTGTTAAAATGCTGTATTTTGTTTTCAGCAGTTAAATCCTGGAGCTTTCTTCAAGCCTGTGTCATAATTCTCTATATATCTTTTTCCTGACATTTCTTATAAGCAGAAATGCAGTATTGACTGTATCTTTAACCAGGCCATTGAACATGAGACTGTACAACAGAAAAACAGTACTTCTAGCCTTTATTTGCAAAAAAGGAGTAATTATGCACTACTTCTTTCATAAAAGTATTTGGGTTGGAAGGGACCTTTAAAGACCATCTAGTCCAACCCTGCCACCATGGGCCAGGCCATCTTTCACAAGATCAAGTTGCTCAAAGCTCTGTCCAGCCTGACACTGAACACTTAAAATGATAGGGCATTCACAGTCATTATGGACAACCAGTTCCAGTGACTCACTGCCCTCATCATAAATTGTTTCCATTTGTTGTGTTGCAGTAAAACTTCCCACTTGATTCAAGTGCTTAATTTTTTTATTATTTTTTTTGTGTGTAGTGCCTGCTTCCAGTCTTGCTGCTTCTCCAGCAGTTGTCAGTGGACATCCTAAGCTTCAGACTCCAGTGTCCTCCACCAGCTCTTTGACAACAGCAGTGCTTCCCACAGCTAACACGGCTACAGTTGTAGGCACTAACCAAGTGCCCACTGGCAGCACTCAGTCAGTGTCTGTCTCATTGCAGTCTTTGCCTGTAATCCTGCATGTACCTGTGGCAGTGTCATCCCAGACTCAGCTTCTGCAAGGCCACACAGGGACTTTGGTCTCTAACCAGCCGTCAGGCAACGTGGAATTTATATCTGTACAAAACTCGTCTACAGTTGGTAGCCTTACCAAAACTACAGTGTCTTTGGCATCAACTAACACACCTAAACCAAATAACATCCCACATGTGCCCAGTCCTGGTATTCTGAGGAACTCTACAGCCAGTGCTGGGTCAATAGGCACAACATTGGCAGTACAGGCTGTTCCTACTACACATCCTGTTGCCCAGACCACAAGGACTTCTTTGCCCACAGTGGGTACTCCGGGACTTTATAATGCGACTGCCAGTCGAGCGCCCCTACAGATGAAGATTCCTCTCCCTGCATTTAGTAGTACAGCTCCTACTGAACCACCCACCATTGCAGCATCCAAGATCGGTAAGTTATGCTTGAATGTTGACACTGGCAGAGGAAGATAGTGGTCGCAGGGAAACATAAAACCGCACTCTATAGAAAATTGTTTCTTAATGTTTTACAGAGGTGGTTCTTCTAGGTTGCGTTTCTGTTGAAATTTTCAATATAAAAATTATCTCTACAACAGATCTGTTTCAGACATTGTTGAAAGTAAACGCCCCTTGGAGTCAGCAGTGTGGCTCTGTAAGCTTTGTTTTGTTTAGAAATTCATTTATATAATTCCTAGCATGAAGTCAGAAACTCCTGTCATTAAGAACTTAGTATTTAATTTTAACACAGCCTCTCAGAATAATATGAACTACCTTTCTAAGCAAAGGCATACTGAAAGTATAATTTTAACTTAATTTTCACAACACTTAAAAGTAAACAAAATGGTAGAAAAAAACAACTGAATGTGAACCTAGTTCCAAAGGAGTACACTTAAAATACTTAAATAAAGTGTCTAAATACAATAAGTGTTCAAGTAATAATAAGTAGATTAATTATTTAAAATAGTTTTTCTCAGTCTTTGGTCCTGCCCTGATGGTTGTCTGCACTTCTGATTTTACATACCTTGAAATTTTTTTATAAGAGGTCTTCCAGATTTGTAAGTGTTGAAGTTATAGCAAATGCCTCATTGGCCGAGTATAATGTTAGAAGGAACTCAAGCAGAACTTGACATCAGAACTAGTTTCATTTTGTTTTCCTGTATCTAAGTTACCTCTGCTAAAATACATGCTCTATAGAGTTAGACATTTATATTTTATAGTGACTCTTAGCTCTACAGCAAATAGAAGTGATGTAAGACAACATAAAAAGGGTTGTGACTGATGAGATACAGTGACAAAAGGAAGGACCTATGTGTCCACAGAATGTCTCATTTTATGCAGTTTCCATAGATTTACTTTATACCGTAGTAATTTCTCACCAGAATTGAACACTGATTTGGGCCAGCAGTGTTGCTGATAAGCTCTCATTAAAATTAAAAGGAATGAGTACAGAATTTGAATTTATATATTTGCATCAAATATTAAAGAAGCTTCTTAAATTCCTGGTTTAATGTTTGGTTGAGCTACAAAAGGTACTTAGTCTCCCTACATCAGTTAAATATTTTGCAGTCTGTTTAAACATCCTTTTTTCAGTCATGCCTTTTTTTGTATGGAAATATTTAATAATTTTGTTATTTTTTAGTTGAATAGCTTATTAATATACATACAGAGGGAGGAGAGGTTGAAGTTATACTTTGTCCTCAGGCAAGGAAGTGCTCATAAGCTGCTTTTAGTATACTGTCAAACTTAAAAAGAAAGGAATGCATTAATCAAACTTGAATACTTAAAATTGAAAACTGGGGCCAAATATAAAATATGTCACATACTGAATGATTAGTGTGAAACAGATTTGAATATTGCCTTCAAATTAGTACTGATCAGATACTGCAAATGAACAATTTCTTGACCCCTCAGAAAACCAGACAAGCAGGCCGCCAACAGATACTTCGGCAAACAAGCGACCTGCTGAGGGAACAACACAGGTAGGCTGTTGATTTTCTGTATAAAATTCTAAAGTTACAATCCACAGGAGATTATTGATTATAATTAAACAATTTTAGTTTCTTTTGTGTCATCCTTTCTAATTTCTCTCAAGTTTATATTATTCTTCTTCTGATTCACTGTTACTTGCTGCGTGAGTTTCTGATAATTTTTTCAGAAGTTTTCTGATGGGAATTTTGTAGGTAGGCAAGTTGGTAAATCTTGAGCAGACTAAAAGTTGTCTGCTAAAACAGCTAGCATGCAAAGAAAAGACTTCCCAATCTTTGTCTGATAGGCTTTATATAGCTACAAATACATTATAAATTATTGCAGTACTCTCATTCCTACATTAATTCAGAAATTAAAATTTTAATTCTAATGTTTGATTCCCATATATCATGGGAGAAGAAAAAAGGAAAAGAAACCTTCTTTAGGAATAGCTACATCATGATAAAGGATAACTTGCAATACCTCTGGATTCCTTGTCTAAAATTTGTTGAACTTGCTTTGAAATTTAAAGTTTAAAATAAAGCTATTTAAAATGACTCATAAATAATTTACGTTCTGTCTATAGATATTTCACAAAGCACCTCATGCTATTAACCAGAACTCATGTTATTAAAAGGAATAAAATAAATTTCTTCTAGACAACACTTCCAAATTCTTTAGTGCCTCAAGGTACACGTAATCTAAATTGTATTTCAAAGCAAGAAGAAAATATACTGGACAATATTCTGGTTTTCACTTGCTGAAAGTAATCTTGCAAAGTTAGCCACTATTTTAGAGTATAAACTATGCCTCACTCTGTCTTTCCATTAAGATAAAGAAAGGTTGTTTGGAACTTCATTTTTCAAAGATACCTGTGGATTATAGCTGTTAAAACCCCTTGTCAGTACTTGGTATGTAGGAAATCCAGTACCATAATGGATGACAGTTTTAAGGTTTAATTTTCAGTATAAGATGCATATTTTGGAATTTTTCTTCAGTTAGAGCCTGAAACCTGTAAAAAAATTTGGAAAAAGAGATTGTGTATGAAAATGGTATTTAGCAGTGAAAGATGAGCTAGGAGGAGGGAGATAAAAGACATAGGATGTTTTCTGGTTTTCTGTCTTCTGTTGTGTAGTATATGTTCTAGGTTTGGTTTCCGTGAAATCAGTTAAAGCATGTGTAATGCCATGGTTAAAAAAGAAGGACGTGCTGCATTTTAATTGGCTAGTGAGGTATGGAATTGACATGCCATTCATTTGAAAAATCCAGTTAATGCCACCTGCTTTTTGTTACGTAAAATCCAAAATATTATGTATTACTCCACACTTCGCAGCTCTCAGATCATAAAGTAGTTCGCTGTGTGCCGTATACTTGTGGCATATTTGATGGTACAACTTTGATCAATTGTTTCGAAAAGCAGTTGAAACAGGAAGAGACTCCATCAGAAAATAAAGAAGCAGCACAGACGAATTTTAACTTCCCTGAGGATGTCCTCTTTGGCTTGGAGGAAGATGAAGAGGATGCTAAGAGCATCAAAAACACCCACAAGCAGACTGGCTGGGCAGCTAACCTATTAAAACAGTGGCTGGCCAAAAATGGCAAGGATCCTAGCTTTGAATTGGTCCCAGTAAGTGAACTCAATGATATCTTAAGAGAGTTTTATTACACAATAAGAAATCATGATGGAAATACCTACAGTGTGGCAAGCTACAAGTCAATGCGCGCTGGCTTAAACCGGCATCTCAAAATGCCACCTTATAATCGTCAGATATGCTTAATGAAGGACAAAGAGTTTGCCAGTGCAAACATGGTGTTCATGAGTGTGCTGAAGATGCTGCGCATGCAGGGAAAGGATGAGACTCACCACCATCCTCCTATAGCTGCTGAAGACTTGCGTAAGATTAAGCAATCTGGTGTGCTGGGTTTGCACAGTCCCCTGGCACTCGTCAACAAGGTGTGGTTTGATTTGCAGTTGCATTTTGCCAAGCGAGGGAGGGAAATTCTAAGAGATCTGGCTCCGGATGCATTTGTTGTTGAGAAGGACAAGAATGGACGTCGATATGCTATGTTTAGATATCCTGGCAAAGGCAAAAATGGAGAAGATCCTCAAAAAATGGGTAAAATGTATGATATGCCTGGGGACCCAAACTGTCCTGTATTTTCCTTGGAACTTTATTTGTCCAAGTTGCCTCCAGAACCCCCTGCCTTTTACCTGCACCCTCTAAAGCTAACGTCAGAGCAAATGCAAGAACAGCCTGTCTGGTACAAAAGAGAACCAATGGGTGTGAACTACCTGGGTACCATGATGCCCAGGATAAGTGTGGCAGCCAGGCTCTCTCAGCGGTACACCAATCATTCTCTCAGAACTACTACCATCCAGCTACTCTGTGAAGCAGGATTGGGGCCTAGGGAAATAATGGCAGTGACAGGCCATCGCTCCGAGTCTGCAATTAGGCACTACTGGGGATCTGCAGAGGTTCACTACAGGGCCTGGTCAGATATAATGGAAAATAATGCCCCCAGTTATCGATCTAGCAAGATCCCAAATGAAGCGATAAAAGAATCAGTATCTGGTGCATCCACCTCATCTCTAAAAAAAGCTGTTCTAGAACAAAACAAAATTTTATTCCCTACAAAATCTGTGGTGCCACCTGGCACTAACTCTGTGGCTTTAGTCCCTGAGGGACACCCAGCTATGAACTGCAAAAGCCCAGTCCTGTTGAACCACAGTTTGTCCAAAGTGTTTCTCCCCAACAGCATGACCAGTGGGAACCTAACTGCCAGTCCCCTTCAAGGCTGTTGTAGCAAACCTGTCTTTATAAAGCGTGTGATAAAACAAGAACCCATGACTTAATGGTTCTGTAATAGAACTGATTTTAGATTAATTGCTAAGATGGAAAAATTATCAGATTTGGCTTTTTACTTGGTCTACAAAGGAATTTCCTTATGGTCTAATTCAGCAAGAAATATCCTGTTCGCACTCAAGATGTGAGCTACGGAGCAGAAATTTAAACTGAGCAGTGCTTGGAGTTTGTGTGACTTTTTATGGCAGCTGGGATTCTTCCAAGTGGATGAGCAGTTATTTAAAAAACATTAAAGGGAGCTATTGATTTGCACTTAGCTGAAGATATGCTTTCTTCACTAAGAGTGTGGCTTTTATATTTTGTGAAGAGTGTTATTTATCATACCATTTTGTGACTGCTGGCACTAATGTAGCATCTTACAAATCAAATACTTGATTACTGAAGAGCACCAAGAAAGTAAAAGCTGAATGAAATAGACACAGATGCACTACAAATATATACGTGCACATGAAAACACCTGGAATTGCTTAACCGCTGTCACCCTCTGTTCAGATTGTTATCAGACCTACCAGAGGACCATGCCTTTGTTTCTTTTTTTTTTTTTAAGCCTCCTTCTAAATTGATTTTCTCTGTGAGCTGCAGATTGCATTGCAGGTCTTTCCTTTTCCTATTTAATATTTTTGGCTTAAGATTCCAGTCATGCTGTTCTCCAAGGGCACTATTGATACGTGTGGTATTAAAATTGGGATCTCTTTAGTTGTGCATGAAAAGGGGAAAACATTCTCAAAAGAGCTGAAAACAATTTCTTGCTTAAATGCCAGGTTAATAGTGTTTGTGTTGTCTCTGTGCCTAACTTGTGAGAGGGAGGGTTTTTTTTTTTGTATTTCCTCTCATCAACCCCCCCCCCTTCATTACATGTTACATCATCTTTGTACTTTAGTCTTTACCAGTATATATAATTCACAAGAAGTACATCTTGTTCTTCCCCACTGAACTAAATATTATTTTTGGTTTTAACTTCTTCAGGTCAGTAAACTGGTCCTGTCATTATCTTTTCCCTGAAATTTTACAGGTTAGAAATTATCAGCATAGTGGATGTGAATAATTTTCATCATAGATTCTGACAGGAGATCTTCCAGTAAATAAAAATAGAAAACTGGTTATAGAATTACAGATTATGGTTGGTTCACTTTGGAAGAAGAAACAGTGTAGCATTTAACTGTTTTGCATATATTAACAATTAAATAGAAATTGCTTTGTTCTTTTCAAATGTGTGTACACAGATGCATTTCACATGGTTTATCACACTAAGGACTTTATTTAAAGTGTTGATGTTGCTCAACAATAGACAAAATAGGGAAAAGTCCCATCTGAAATGACAAACTGACCATGATAAACTCTTAATTCTGTGGAGAACTTCCTTAATAGGATAGGCTTTCAAATTTTGAATGAGATTTATCACTCTGTTATAGTGTAAGTTGATATAGACACTACGATAGTTTGCACAGAGGACTTGATGCCTGAATTTTGGCGTTTTTATCTTGGCTGATATTTACCTTTGTGGCCTTGCATTGATTATTCATACTTCGTACATCAGTTTTCCAAAGTGTAAGACCAACACAGTGCTCCATTTGCTAATGGATTATGAGAAAGGTTTTAAAAGCTCTTTAGTGATCTTAAACTCATCTATGGTTGACATAGTTGATCAGATGTAATTGTTAATGAGAAATTACTTTTACACAGTTCTGCTTCCTTAGTAGGAACGTTAATTCATGACATAAACGACTAGAGGAAAGAAAGCATGGGTCACTTTGTCAGGCCTAAAGTAGATCAATTAGAGATGGTCAAGAAAGTGATCCTTTCTATGGCAAGAAGATAAATGAAAAATGAAAAAAACAAAGGGCAAACAGTTCTCAAAATATAGGAGAACTGTGCAGTAACTTATTCTAGGATCTTTTAGGGTAACATATAATTTGAAATTTTAGGGATTCATAGAATTAGTAACTCAGCAAAACTGGCAAAATTAATCTCTAAATTTAATCTAAATTTCCACCAGGATGGGTATGCATTACTGCCCCCCCTAAAAAAAAATGTTTCCATCATTGTCTCAGGTAGTTGCTTTTTCCAGCATATTGACATTGAACAGAAACAAGAAAAGTGTGTTGCCAGATGATTCTGTGTTCCCTCTTGCTGCATGCTGTGGTCATACT